TTGCCATACTATTGTGATCTCTTCATCGTATATGCTAACCTGCATTCATTAATTTGTGTGTAACGGTTTAGAAGTTTCGTTTGGCAGATGTTTGGGGGCAGTAAGGCGAACTGTGTCCAAAGTGAGGTCGGAAAGGTATTTTTAGTCATTTAACGGTAACACGTTATATATGGTTGAAAATCTTCCTACAGTCATATATTTAGGGATTCTTTTATTGTTATTTCCAGGGACAGTTTTTTAATGGGTATATACATTTCCCCACTTATCCCATTCTTAGCAGTCCTTACCTGACCAAAATTTTTCGACTAATTTATAACGACTTCTCATAGATCGCTATAATTTGTCATTTGGGTTAGTATTCATCATTTCTGCATTTATTTTATTCGCTGTGTCTGTTACATCTTTAAAAGTTGTTGCGATCATGTCTTAATAATGCCTTAACGCCTTAATGAAGATTCGATCATTGAAATGGTCTTAACCTTGGTATCGCATCCTGTATTTTTATAGTTATGTCACAAATTGATCGAATAATTTATAAATAAACTATTCCTTATTCAATTGTTATAGACGTGCAACTAGAAGAGTAGTCAGTTACCAGGAGTCAGAAGACGATTCGGAAACTGTCAAAGATCATGGTGGTACTCCATCTATTGAATCTTCAAAGAAATTGAAGTCTCGTAGAAGAGTATTGGAAGACTCAGACGACCAGACTGGCAGCCATTCATCAAACAGTAGCAAGCCCGTAAAGCACTCTGAAAATCCTGATGCCAAAAAATCTAATAGACGCGTTTCGTCTTCTGATAGCGATTGCGTTCCGTCTGGTGCTGATGATGATGATGATGATCAAGTTAGCACTGATGAACAAATTAGCTCTGGTTCAGGTACTCTTGATAAGCCTGTTAATGATGAAAGCTCCGTAGAAGAAAATGTTATCATGAACAACTCTTTAAATGGAAAACCGAATGAGTCCCCTGTTAGCCCTCTCTCGAATTTTCAGTCTGACAAAGAACAACCTCACAGCCAAAAAGTTTGCTCAGATATATTTGGCAATCTGAACTCCTCGTCTCGGCCTTACACGAATGGCATCAAGACGTCAGTTGCACCCTACAAACCATGTGTTAATCTCTCACCTGATCCAGTCATCCCACGGAGTGCTCAACCCGGACCATCGCCTTTGGTATCGCCAAAATCTGAAGAAATAACACATGTTGGCGAGGAGCTGAACTACCCTCAGGCAATTAGATCTGCTGATTGTATTCCTGGAAGTCTCTCAGCTTCCTTTTCTTTTCTGACTAGTAAGACTTGCTTTGCAGGTGACGAAGAAGATGAGGAGGACGTTGAAGATGAGGCCGAAGAACTGCTTTCCTCACGACATCGTCTCACTGCCCCCGCGACATCGATTTCTAAAATCACCAGATAACGAACTGTTTTCTGACGGACTGCTTTATGCTGACAAAACGCAGCTTACGTTTTTCTATGCTTTTTTAGCCCACTAAGTGGATCACAATCTCTGGGCCTCCATAGCTTATTGGCCAAAACTTTATTGTAAAAAGGGCTTCACTTGGGGCTTGGTTCCTAAGTATTTATGCAGAAACCAGATGTCAAAATGTTAATATCTTGACGGGCCAGGCCATCATTTTGAAATTTTAGCTGTATGAGTAAATTTTCTACTTTTCCACATCACAAATGCTTTTATGTTGTCTAATGAAATTGCCTTGGCCCCACAGGCACCACTTTACCCAATGCTATTTCACATTCTTGTAAATATCAACGGCATTGTAAACGTTTATCTCAATGGAAATTTGCGCATTATATGTTTTGGGTAACTTTACTATTGATCTCATTGTTTCAAATAAATTTGGTAAGTCGATTTAAATTTTCTTTTATCCATACACCCTTGCGGCCAAACCCTCTTAAGATTTAAAGTTCATAAACGTATCTAAGCTCCTGTATTTTTGAAGTACTTAACTAAGAGTCACATTCGTTCATAATTTATAAATCGTCTAAAATTCTTGTGTTATTCACACTTATGCCTATGATAATGATCTTAATCAGCCGTTATGCCGTCAATCAATTCATTAGAACATAAAGATCGGATAAATTTGCCCCCACCGTCTTCGATCAAAATTAATAAATTAGAACTTGCTCTATTTCTCAATTGGAATGAAATGTAGGGCCTCTTGGCCAGTGCATATATGAATAAATGCAATTTGCTACCCTTCCATGGCACCTGCCATAAAACGTTCATACACTAAAAGTGAAACACGCTTCAAATTATGCAGGTCGAGATCATTCCCTATCTGTTTGCTTAGTATCCTGGAGGGAAAGGTTCAAGAATTATGAAATGTGAAATATATGAGTCACAAGGAGCAGATGGCAAAAGTGTGTTATGAAAATAAAATCGAGAATTAGAAAGAAAACCTAATATTGATGTTAGCCCTCCTATTTTCTGAGGGTTGCGACCCTCAATAGTAAAATAGAATACATCCAGGTGACAATGAGGGTAATTACAACACTTCACTAGTTTGCCGAAGCAATGCGAGGTCGACAAATTTAATTACTCGGGAGTTTATCGCTTAACATAAGGAAACTGTGAGCAGAAATATACTTGTGAAACAGGAACATAAATTAGACTACGAGTGAAGGAATATCAGACGGCAGTAAAATGGATATGGAAAGATACGAAATAGTGGAACACATTCATTGCGCGGACTGGAGACGAAAGCGACTAGCGATTGACAGAAAGGATGGTTGTATATGATGATAATACAAAACGCAACATTCAATGGAATTTCGATATCCTGACTGAAGGAAATCTATGTAACAGAAGATAGAATTAGCGAAAACTTTGTATCTTAAGTAAACTTGGAGGAGATTAAGAAGCAGCATGATGTACAAAAAGAAGGAAACATTTTTACTTTGAGGTAAAGAGATCGAAAGTGGAATGCCGCATAAACAATCGGAAATCAAGAGGTCACCTTTACAGTGAGACTAAAAAAGGCAAGTAGATAAAACTCTAACATCTTGGTTGTAGATATGAAGAACAAGATGGTGCGGTCTTTTGTTTCGTCACAGTCTCCTTTAGCTTTATGGTGTTGGCTTGACCTTGTTTCCGCATCTTGGACGGAGCGTCAGGGAGACCTCGTGGAACGTACCTAGTCCCGTGTCCTCAGCCATAATATTGGTGATTTCCAGTATTAGACCGGCATCGTCAGTAAGGTATCATCTTAAGCACAGAATTACAACTTATCAAAGTGACAAATGAAGGCAATCCTCGACCAATTTCCTGTTCAACTATTATGGCATCACTCCTCGCCCCCATTTTTGTTCTACCTTCTGGTTCCGAACCTCTCTTTCTCAACCCCAATTTATATGGCCCATCCACTTATTCACACTATTCTGTGCCCTCGTATCCTCCAATTTCGCCTAAGAGAGTGTCGCTACAAGTTGGTTTATGGAAGCGTTATCACCTCCATCGGCACCAGAAGCCGTTTGCAGGTCTTATGATCTAAATTCTGACTCCTTTTTTTCCTACGCGCTTGTCAATTGGCGGATGCAAAACATCAGAATCACTTGGTCATATTGGTAGGAAGACTTAGATGAACACACCTAGTCGGAGTCCATTGTATGCATGATTATTTTCAGGGTCGGACTGTATACTTGGTATAATCCCAGACAGTTCGCCAGCATCGTCAGTGAGCCTCGCCATACTTAGCACTCGTCAAAGAGACAAGTGAAGCCGATCCTTCGACCAATTGCCTGCTAAAAAATCGTGGTATCTCTCATTCCGCCCTGGTCTAATCACCAATCCTATATCCTCGTATCACGTCTTCACTACAGTAATTTTTTTCTTGCTTATTTAAATGAGATATAGTGTACCCTCTCGAGCGGATTTTATAAAAACTCTCCACACTCAACGCAAGCTATCTCACCCCCCACGCCCTTCTTCACTCTTGTGCTGATAATGTTGATCAGGATCTAAT